CCTTCTTTTGAAGAGCCCATTTTGCTTTGCATTGAAATCCATTGTGAAATCAACTTTTTTTCCTCTGTTAATCACCTTAGATTATTCATTTTCTCGGTTCTTTGGAGGTTTGCTCAAATGGTTTCTGTTTTTTCTTATAATTTGTACAGTGTCTCGAGTGTTATGGCTTTTTTTTTTCTTTTTAACACCGCCATTTTGCTTTGTATATTGAAATTAACTCTGAATTCAAATTCTTATCCTCTGTTACTCACCCTGTATCATTCGTCTTCTAGATGTTTTTTATGTTTGCTGCGTTCTGCTCATTTTTCTAAGTCACTATGGCCCTTTGATCAGACCAGTTTGCTTTATTTTGAGATTACTTTGATTGATCGTGAAATTGGATAATTGTATAATATTAAATTAATATAATGACTCCAAGTTTGATGGTGTAGATGTTTTATGTGTGTGGGATTAATCGTCGAATAAATTATGCTTGTGATTTCTTGTCAAGTGTATGGAATCTGCTCTGCTGTAAGCTGAAATGTAGCTGAAGTTTGCTTAGTTTATACTAATTTTAATCCCAGAGTGTAGGAAGTCCCATTTAATTCTCTGACTTTCATTTTTGGCATCTAAACTTAAAGTTGGAGTACTCCATAACATGGCCTTAAAGTTTTACAGATAGGTGAGTTCAAAATTGCTCAACCATCGGTGAATTGTTGATAAACAGAATTGCAGAAGGATTCCTAGGAAGAAATAGCAAGAAATAACAGATTATTTGTCTGAAAAGTAGGAAAGTAGAAAATTTGACACATTTGTGATGTTAGGTTCCTGTTTAATTTGCTTTGTTGTTTAACTTCTTTTTTTATAATTCTTGTTCCTTGTTGCATGTCACCAAAGTAATTTCAATCTGACTAGATTGTATTACGATAAAATTTTTTGGCATCATTAACTAATTTTAGCGTTCTGTTTTGGGATGTGACACCATGTTCATCATGGTTCATGACAATTGCTTCTATTACCGTTGCATGACACCAGCGCACTCTCCTTCTCAAACTATGCTGCCACTGGATTTAGCTGATTGCTACAAAAAATTAGTGACAATCTACGGAACAATTTTTTCGGTTGCCAAATCAAATTGTCATAGTTGTTCATCTGTGCCGTTTGTGCACTCACAGCTGACTGAGACTTTGAGTTTAATTTTTCACCCGATAACCAAAATCCCCTGTTCTAACCGATATGCTCTGAAATTTAAGCTGACAGCTTTTTTATATTATTTATTTTTTGGATACACATTTGGGTCTATTAGCTCTTGAAATTGAGTGTGATGATGGACTACTCCTTTGATGTGATAATGTGTGGTAAGGGTTGAAATTCTGGTTTTGTTGTTGATGAAAATATAGCTCTTATTACATTATTTAAGTAATCATGCTGGCCATCACCTTGGTAGCTTTATGTCATGACTTTTATGAGCTAGGTTGGCTCTCACGTCCACTTAATTAGTACTATGAAATTGTTATTGCTTGATTGGATGACATAATATGTCTGTAAGTCAACTCGCTGGCACATTTATCTCAATGGATGTGGTTTGATTTATTTATTATTGATGTAGCTATATTGTGTATGAGAATTTGGACTCTTCCATCATAGCACTCATTCTACAACTATCTAAGACAATCATTTTTGTGTCATTTAATACTCAGAATTAGGGAAATCTAGGACATAGACTGTTTGCAGTAAAATGTAATTTAGATGAAAGCATTTAAGATTAAATTGAAAACATGTTAGTGTAGGATCTTTCATTGCTCAGGATTTCAAGAGCTTGAAAGTTGGATATGGCAGTCTTCCAGTATCATGGTGATAATGAAATTTTCATTTCTTTTCTTCCACGAAAAAAGTAAACTCCAAGAAAGTGATTTGCAATTTCCTTCTAATCACCTTCTCAAGGACAGTCAATGGACGTCTTTCAGGCTGAAGGCAGCATTTTTCTCATCCTGGAGTTTTGTGCTGGGGGCAATCTCGGTGCTTATATCCGGAATCATGGTAGAGTGCAAGAATGCATAGCTAAAAGATTCATGCAACAGATTGGTAATGTTTCACTCAGAAACTAGCATCAGACTTCTTCATTTTCAGCAACTACACTATTTGCCTCATTTAATAATTTCGTTCCAGCTGCTGGATTAGAGGTGCTGCATTCACACCTAATCATCCACCGTGACTTGAAGCCAGAGGTATGAATTTTTTACCTATTTTGGTTAAGGTATCTATAAGCTTCCCTCACAGTGCAGCCACGAGTACATTTATACTTGTTTTATCTACGAAATGCTGCATCATAGGAGAGTCGTCTCTCTCACTGTCCAATCCTTTGACGACATATGTTCATTTAGCATGAAACTATGTTGTCATAAATAAACAATTGAAATAATGCTAATTATGCTGTTCTGTTTCTAAAATTTGGAAGTTTAGAATCTCAAATACCTCAAGCAAAGCAGGCTCTGAACTTACATAGAAAAAACATCTAATGCATGAAAGTCTTTCTGGTTTGGCATCTTCCATTTATAAAGAATGTTATAAAGAAAGCATGCCTAATACGCCCATAGTTGCATATCTGAGCATGTTCTTATAGCTATTAGACAGTTTGGTGAACACAAAGTATGTTAGTCACTGATGAGGGAAAAGCTTTGCATATGGTATAAGGTGATCACTTGTATTAATTTGGTTGCCGGTGTCAGCACACTATGACAAGTCTTTCCCAATTTCAAGCACTTGTGCTATCTCTTGTTGCTTTTGTCTTTCCTTCAGTAATCTTTCTCAATAGGATGGAATGGATTATTTCCTCTGTTTTTTCCTCTTAACATTGAAGGCTAAAATTTTCATCATATTTCCTATCAGAAATTTTGACTTTCTGATACTAATTTTTTTTTTGGGTGTTGTTTTCTTTGGCTTAGAACATTCTGTTGTCAAGCTCTGATGGTGATGCTCTGCTGAAAATTGCTGATTTTGGTCTCTCAAGGTAATAGTTGACTAACACGTAATAGCTTTTGAATTTTCATTTGACAGGAGGACAATGTAATAAAATTGTTTGTAATGATCTCAATGCCTTTTCCTGTTGACAGAATTTTACACCCTGATACCTTTGCTGAGACAGTCTGTGGGTCTCCATTATACATGGCTCCAGAAATTCTTCAATTTCAAAAATATGATGAAAAGGTTGGAGATCTTTCTACTACTATTTTAAATGTGCTAGAGAGAAATGTTGCCAGCATATCCAATAGAACTATCGAGAACTCATACAATCATGAGTACAGATTGAGACACGTAATTTGATTTAAGCTTTCTTCATAGGTTGACATGTGGAGCATTGGTGCAATTCTTTTTGAACTTCTTAATGGCTACCCTCCTTTTCATGGTAGGACTAGTGTTCAGGTAACTCCTTTATCTAAATTGAATAGCCGTCTCAGTAGCTCCTCGTGCACCAATTATATTTGGATGATGCAGCTTTTGCAGAATATCAAGGAATCTTCATATCTTCCCTTTTCTCAGCTGGTTCTTTCTGAGTTGCATCCGACCTGTGTTGATTTATGTTCTAGACTGTTGTCTGTCAATCCAGGTTTGGATCCTACCTTGATTAGGATTTCATGATTTTCCTTTCTTTTCAGAGAGCAACGCTGAAATTTGGTTATATCTGCAGTTTTTAGTATTCCTTTGTATTCTGTCTATGCAGAGACCCGGATGTCCTTTGATGAGTTTCATGAGCATGACTTTTTGGAAATTCAGAAAGTGGAAAGATAAAAGCCAGCAATAAGTGGTTTCATATCTAAATCACCATTGAACTGTCTTAGTGATTTATAGCTTTGTTTGTAAATCATCTCAATGTTGGTGACCAGGTTTCTATATGTTGATGTCATTATGATGGGTTGTCTGCCAAGATCTCAGTTGTGAAGCTGCCATTTCCTGAGTGTGAAAAAAATATGAACTCAGCTGCATTCCTCTTGTCAGTGGATCATTCTTGAATTTAAAGCTTCTATAATGAATACTGTTGCTCCAGCTTTTCAGGCTAATGGATAACATTCTTCCTTGATTAAGTCTGCCTGTTCTCCTGAAATCATATACCTTCTCCTCTGACATAAATGACTAGTAGAGTACAAACCAGCTATGACAATCCGAAAGCTTACTTTCAGTCTGCCACACCCCAGCTGATTGGATGAGTTTTTCTATCATATCAAGACTTGGTTTAAAATTGGCTTCATTTGGCATCTCAAATGTGGATAAAGTAGTTCGGAGTTTCTGGTGGATAGCCAGAATGAGGTTGGCTATGTTTTGCCTTTTATGACACCAATTACCTGTTCTTTAAATAGTTATCCACTATAGTATTTTATAACTACCAATAAAGTCTCTTGCCACAGTTCCCAGTCAAATCATCACTCCCATGGATCAGAATATGCAGTGCACTAATTTGGCCTGCCCAGTGGCTATAGTGCTTTTACGGGAATGGAGAAGATTTCACGTGCCTTTCGCATTGAAGATCAGCTGCAATGTTAGATGGTAAGTTGACAAATCACTATTCAGTCTTCTTTGCTTCGGTTTGGTACACTTCTTTTGCTTGTTTGTGATACAATTTGGCAGATGGCAGCTCACAGGGAGGGTTAGGCTGCCTGTAGTTGAACTGGACTCAATTACCCCGATATGCCTGTGGATTCATGTTCTAGCACAGGCGCCCTGCAACGAAGCTTCAAAAAGCAATACGAGATTTTACAAGTTCAGGAATATGTTCCAATATCTAGAAACGCTGCTGTACTAATTCTTTGTCAGACAGCAAGCCTTTTACCACTAAACAACGCTCCTGGGAATTTGAATTGCTTATTTCTGGTCTTTCCTCGATTTATTTCATTCTTTTCAGTTGAATGGCAAATTTATTTTTTTTAAAGGAACAGGAAGAAGTCAAGGTGCAACACTGAAATGAGTGAAGCTGTTGTGGAGATGTCTCCGGTAGTTCATCTATTGTCTCAACAGTTCATTGAAGATGAGTTGATTACCTTGTGTGGCTGGATTCTATTCATTGCTTACGCAGAATTCAACAAATAAAATGAGGTGAGTTACAAAAGAATTGGTGAAAATGAATTCCCTTTCATCTTCATTAAAATGGGGGAGGGGGAGAGTGGAACAAAGTAAAACTCATCGAAACATGTTGCTCCTGTTGCCAAGACATGATTCAGCTGCCAAGACATGATTCAGCTGGCATTCTTCAAATCTAAGCAATAGGTTCCCCTTTTCTTCCCTAGGACAGCCAGGAAGAACTTCCTCGAATCTATTGCATTTTGAGGCGCCAAATTGTCTTTTTTCTTTGCAATCCTTTATCAGCTCCAAGGCCAAGCTGCATTTCGACTCCTTACTCGAACCTGTACATCCACTTTACATCATTCCAAGATTGATTATCTATTGGTTTTCTGTAGGTTGATAATGAACCTGTAACATTTCTTGAGGCCCCAGCCTTCTGCTCATTAGAACAGTCTGCAATTACATCCCTGTAATTTCATCACATTCTCGGGCACCTGGTGGCGTTCCTGGACGGATCATCTGCCGGCGCTTGGTAGCTTGATGAAGCAGAATAACCTTTAAGGACATCTTTTGAGGAGCACAGCCCCGTCCCCTGCTTCGTCCAACTCCATGGCCCATGACTTCTCGCTAATGACTTCTTTCTAGTCGCTTAGGATTTTAGAGATTCACATCTGAGTGCCTGAAAGTAAAGGGTGGAAGTACTAATAATATATAGGGAGAAGGAGATTGAATAACCATCAAAATTAGAAACCAAGATTGCGTAACTTACAAAAGCATAGTGTAGAATCGTAATCAAGATTCCCGAGATCTGTGTAGATCGGCAATCATTGTTACAAGCTTCCTGCACGAAATAAGAAACAAAGCTCGGGAATTAAGCGCCGGTTAAGATCACAGGATTGCAGTTACCTTCGAAATCGATCTTGAGAGGCATTCTCGAGATTCGGGCCACGATGATGGGACAGGATGGGACCTAAGTTACGGAAACAAGAGATCATCTTCATCTCGGGTACTACATAAAGGATTTATAGCATTCATATGTTTCTTTAAAAGTTCATCTAATGTTTTCGAATTCGGATCGGATCGGTCGGTTCTACCGATTCAACTGCAAACCGGCCGTGTATTCGGTCTGATTCATTGCTTATGTTGACCAGGATCAAAAATCGGTCAAAATCGTGAAAAATCATTAAAACCGTTAAAATCGGTTCGAACCTTGAACTGCGATTTTTCATTTTTTGATCAAAATTGAAAATTCAGTCAATTTTGACCGAAATTATTAATTAACATATGTATAAAAGAGCGAATACCTCGGCTCAAAAGAGGTGCTTGTGTTGGTGATGTGGCCAATCGTTATTGGCTAGAGAGTGTTCGTCCAAGTCGCTCGTGCTCCTCACGTGAGTTTACCTTGGATTCCATTCTGCCTCCAAAGAAGAAAAAGCAGTACTCGGTCTCCAAAGTAAAGTACTTTGCATCCAAAAGAGTATGTCAGATGTTTACCTGCTTGGACTTACCATCTCACTTTCTCTGCCTCGGACAGAAAGTTGAAGGTTGAAGTTGTGGGTAGTTGCTGAGAAATGCTGTGTGAGGAAGAAATTAGGTAAGCTTATACGTTTAGCTTCCTCCAGGATGCTAATCTCTTCCTCCAAGAACTTCTGCTTTTGTTCAACTTTGATAGACGAACACTCTTCCTTTCTCGCTCTCCCTCTCTGTCAAACGATGACCAGATCTATCATTCATCTACATGTTTTCTTTCTTCTTTTCTTCTTTGTTAATCAACAAAAATTAAAAACAAATAAGGCACATTGATGTTTTTTTGTTTAGTTTTTGTTTCTTTCTTTGTTTTCTTGAATTTGCAGTTACTCACAATCGCATTTTGCTTCTCATAGATTGCAGACAATGGATTGAAAGTCCACCAGAAGGAGAAAAAGAATCAACTTTCCAGGTTGTGCGATTCTCTTTAATTTATTTTTCAGTCTTTTTCCAATTTTACTCTAGCCTTCAAAATTTTGTTTCCTTTTTTTTTTTTTGTAAGAAAAGTTTCTAATTTCTAATCTCTTGCTTAGTACTTTAGTTTTGTTGCTGTTAGCGATCTCATTTCTGTTGTCTATTGGACAGATAGGGAACTCATTTTTCTTTTAATAAATTGAGGGAAAACTGGAAGAAAAATCGACGGGAGGAAGAAAAAAAGATTTAACTTTTCAAGGTTCGAATTTTTCTGTAGTTTATTTTCCAACCATTTTTCTAATTTTGCGCTGAACTGGACCTTCAAGTTTCTGCTTCCTTCTTTTTTTTTTTTTGGCTTTTCCATTGAAGATTATATGTTTTAATTTCTTGTTTAGTTATTTAGTTTTGCTGCTGCTAATAGTCTTATTTTCCATTTATGTCATATTTTGATTTCTGTTTAGTAGATTGAGGGAAAACGCAAGAAAAATCCACAAGAAGAGATAGATTTACCTTTTTAGGTTGTGATCTTTTTTTTCCCCCAATTATCTTTGCAGCTCACCTGAAATTCAGCTTTCAAGTTATATTCTATTCATTGGTGTTCACAAAGTAGCTGTAGGTATTATTTCTTAGTTTTGCCTTTTATCTTTACTATTGCCTTCTTAACTCGGATGGTTATGCATCCATGTTATACATGGTACTGGGAGATCCTGTTTGAATTGTGCTTGGAATAGATGTCTTTGTCATTACTTTTCCATTGCAGTAGTTGTGACTTTTATTTAGAGTATGCATAGAGTGGTGTAGTTGCATTTACAAGTGTGGTTAACACTTATTGCTAAAATGTCGTATGGGTGTCTAAGTTTTGCAGCGGAACCAAAAGTTTTTATGCTGTAATTTGCTTCAGTACAATATTGAGTTTTTGGTTGAGCTTACCATGTCTGGTGTATCCAATTCCAAAAAGTCCTTGCTCTCAAATTACATTTGTGCAGTGCAAGAAATTCTGTTACACAATGAGGAAAAAGTGATTGCCAAAAGTGTGTATATTTGGCCATACTCTTAACTGTGATTATTTTTTTGGCCATCTTACCTTTTGTTCAATTTGTTGTATGGGTTCCAGATTTTTACTTTTTCCTCCATTTATTTTTCTCAAACATTCTGTGCAGAAGGCATTCAATGGAAAATCATATTGTTTCTTAATGTTTATGTGCCATCATCCTGTACAAGAAGGAAATATTTTTATGTATGCAGGGATTATACTTGGTTCAGAACCCATGATTGCAATGTTTTTTTCTTTTTTCTTTTTGGGTTTTTTTTGAGTATCCAAAACTGATATGGTGTTTTTAATAGGTATTTTGCGTTAAGCTGATTGCTAGTAGTGATAGGAGGGAAGCTGCTTATATTATTCTCACTAGCTTTAAGGCTACTTAAGTTTGTTATATGTTTAGCCTTTTTCTACTTAATTAGGTATGTTTAGTCTTTTGATGTACTGTTGTTTACTTAATGTTTCTTTTACCATGAGATCCTTGTAATTTTGTAGTCTCTGAATTTTTTAGTAAGAAATTTTCATTTATTGTAGATTATTTAATATTTGATTTGAAATTCATTTGTTAGCTTGCTTATATGCAGTTTCAATGTATTGATGTATTTACCTTTTGGTACATAGTTTGCTTTCTTATTGTAATTATTGGCCCTACGGAAAAGAATGATTCATTTACAGTGGCTCATGTGCAATTTCTTTACTATCAATGCAAAAAAAAAAAAATCACCACTTAATAACTACCACTGCAACATTCATTGAAGATAATGCACACATGGTGGTAAACAGACTGATTTTGTATTCTTCGGGGTGTTTCCCCCTGAATAAGAGAAATTTTTCCCTTCCCTAGATTCTTAAATGTATATGCTGATAGGATTTAGATTATCTCCTAATTGCGTTCTTTTGTTTATTTGATAGATTGTTTTCCTCAACAATTGAAGGTTACGAAGCTAGAATAGAAACTCCAAGGGGGTTGATACATGTACATTTGCTTGTGAAAGTTAAAAATAACATATTGAATGGTTGTGCCTTATAATTTTCTTTGCCTTTCTACTCTTGAATGATGAGTTGTACTGGGGCAATTTCTTTTTTGGCCTGTTCTTCCTTTTTTTTTTCCCGGCTCTCTTAGCTCTTCAAAGAGCCTATTACTTTGGTTATTATCATAGTATGGTTAGGTTACACAATTTGTTTCACCAATTTAATGGGTAGATTTTACAAACTTACTTTTCTTCTTTGCATTTTAATCTTGATAACACCTCATTAATGTTTCAAAAACTAGAAAATCAATTTTTTAGCAAATGCTTTTACATTTTGAGCATTATCATTTAATTACATGGCTTTGTTCTAGAAGTGTTTGTGAGCAAGTTGGGTAAAGCAGAGCTGACAATTGAACTATGTGGTTCATTGCCTATAATAGCAGGTCTATTCTGCCCATAGTAATTGTAAAACAAAACAGCCAAGTTTGATCTAATAATTGTTTGTTTATACTTTTATGGGTTTTTTTAATATTATTGACAATATCTTACTTGTGCTTTTATTTCGTATGTGAATTTACCAAATCAGATCTTTAAAACCCTTTTTTCTATGGTTAGTCATTATTGGTAAAGTCATTTTTTCAGTGTATGTAATATATGGTTCTTGGTATCTCAACGTTATAGTATACAAATGTGAAAACGGTTTGAAAAAATAGAAGGAATATCTACTGAAAGGAGAAAAAATTTTAACTTTTCAGGTTGTGAATTTTTTTTGATTTATTTCCATGTCATTTTTCCAATTTTACACTAGATTGGACCTTCAAGTTTCTGCTTCCTTTTCATTTCTGAAGTTTTTAATTTCTTGCTTGCTTCTTTAGTTTTGCTGCTCCTCATAATCTTAAATTGCTGCCTATTTGATAGATTGAGGAAAATCACAAGGAAATACTAAAGGGAGGAGAAAAAGATTAGCTTTTCAGGTTATCATCTTTTTTTATTTTATTTTGTGGTTATCTTTCTAGATTACCTTAACTTTGAATTTCAAATTTCTGATTTTTGTGCTATTTAGTGGTTTTCACGAAGTGTCTGGTGAGTGTTGAAATTGTTAATTTTATTAATTCCTTTTTTTTTTAACTATTGCCTTCTCAACATGAATTGTTATGCATCTGAATCATATATGAAGCTGGGAAGTTCAGTTTGAAGTACTCTTGAGGTGGATATCTTTTCTCATAATTGTTATGCATTATACTCGTGTTCTATCATTTGCCATGCTGAATTTATCAATCATTCTAATATAGTCTTTGATAGCCATATATTGAGGGTTTTTTTAAATAATGTAGCTTATTCTTCTAGAAGCTGTGGATGTTGAAGAAAAGGCAAACAATTATCTGAAGGAAGAAATAGTTGAAAGAGATCAAACAATCTTGCTTCATTTTTTCTAGACATATATATGTTTTCTCACCTTGTGATTTGTGCTGATTCTCTAGGCTTTTAGATCAAATATTTTGCTAAATGAATGATGCAAAAGAGGACTAACAGTTTGATTGGATGCTTAAAATGCATTTTCGATTGAGCATAGAGTAGTTATTACTATTATAATTATTACTGCAATTCAAAGGGTAATTTGTTAGTCATGTTTTCCCTTAAAAATGCTGCTGCAATTCAAAGGCTAAATATTACTGCATAATATTATGTGTCTGATCGGATTCCTTAAAAATGTATTGATAGCAAGGATTTCACAAATTTCATTCCTTGACTTTTGTCAAGAGAATATAAGTATTCTTGTAGATAATAAATTAGTAAGGGTATTCTTGTAAATAATTTGTTAGGTTTGTACTCCTATAAATACTAGTTGGTCACTCATAATACGGTGACTAGATGTTTTCCTCCCAAAATACCAGTTGACATGGTATCAGAGCAAAAGTCCTAGGGTTAGGGTTAAACATCTAGCAAAAGTCTTGACGCGATACTGTTCATCGCGCACTGTTCACGCGGTACTGTTCATCGCGATACTGTTCACCCCGGTACTATTCACGGCGCACTGTTCACGGCGCACTGTTTATAGCGAATTTTGATTGCTGTTTTGTTTGAAGTGCTATTCGCTATGGTTGAAAGTTTTGCTAATGGGGTTACCACTGATCAAGTTAAATCAAGTTCTTCAGCACATAGGTCCCAGAAAACTGTTATTATATCCGAGGAAGATTATGTTAAATTCTTACAGTACCAAACTACAAGTCACGCATCTCTTCCCTCTGCTTCTTTAGCACAAAAAGGTAATGACTCATGGATTATTGACTCCGGGGCTA